CTAGCAAGGAGATCGGGCTGAAACTATAGCTACAAGCTATCCAAGGATGGTACTATAGAATGTCACCTCAAGGTAGGCCTAGTGGCGTCATCTCTTGGTTAGGCCGGAAACTTATCAATCCACCCTCGTATAAGCAGGAATTTTAAATTTAATGTTTCACTTTTTAATACATGATTTTAATAATTTACTCATTAATGTAATGTTCTTATTTATTTAAAGAATTGTGTAACTTTTAAAAGTGATGGAAATCGTTGAACGTAGTGCATTTAAATTCACGGAATTAACAAATATGAAAGGGAAGATGCGAACGTTTAGTTTATTGAAGAATACCTCATGAGAGTAACGAACGTTTTGTGCCGATCACATATAGGTATAAGCTGCATCGTCGATTAAGTTAAACAGGTTGATATCTTAGTAAGGCCTTGTCTAACACATGAAATACTTCAGCAACAGCATATACCAACTAAATGGCGATACACTGCCTGCACTTGGATATCATAGAAATTTTGTTTGTAAAAGAATGAATTGTATGTAATTACATTGAGTTAGGTCATTTTAATTTAAATACTCACCTTGAACCTGGTATGTAGTTAGAAATTGGGTTTTCTAGTTTAGGTCTTTTAGGAGACATAGTACTTCCTCCATCACTAGTAACTTTCCTTTTATTATCTGTGGTGGGCGTTCCAGCTCTTGAACTTCCTGCACTATAAATTAAATATTTTATCGATTGTTTATTGTAAAAATTTTAAAAATATACCTATTTGGCTCTTTTTCTTCTTTTTTCAGTTTTTTTTCAACTTTTGGCTTTTTAATGTCTTCATCAGTACTACTATCAGAACTAAAATCACTGTTGTCATCTATAAAATTAATGCCAAACATTTTTATTCACTCAAAATTAACCCTACACTTTTTTATATAATATTACCGGGTTTTTTGGTATCTTTCTTAATCTCTTTACTCTTCTGTTTTTTCTTTTTTTTCTTCTTTTCTTTATCCTTAACAGTTTCGTCTTTTTCAGTCTCTTTATCTTTAGAGTCTTCTTCTTCTGGACTCTGATCTTTCTCTGATTTATTTTCTTCTTCTTCAGAATCTTCTTCATCAGAATTGAGTAATTTTCTAACAATAACAAGTTATGTAGTATAATTTGCATATCTTACTATTTGAAACTACCTTAAAGCTTTCTCTTCTGCAACGCCTTGTTCTGTTAACACCTCCGGCTCGCTTTCACTGCTGTCACTTATATAATCAACTTCTCTGCCTTCTTCATCTCCATCATCAGATTCTTCGAAAGCTTCCCCATCAGTATCCCGTTTCTTTTTCTTTTCTTGAGTATCTACAAATTGGTCAGTGTGTACTACTGAATAAATTAATCAATGGTTATTAATTACTTTTTTTATTTTTTTTATCATGCTTTTCCTCTTCATCTTTTTCTTCTTCATTATCAGAAGAGTCATCCTCTGAACTTTCCATCCACTCATCCATATCAGAAATTTTCAGATCTACAATTTATTTCTCAATATATTTGATACATATACATTAAGGTAGTCCTNTTATAGTTTCCAACAAAGGGTAACTATTGCGATTGTTTACTGTAAAGGGCTATTCAAAAATGCACTCATCGGGAAAACAAAATGCAATTTCGGGGTTAATTACAGAATAATATGTGCCAGAGCCGATTAAAATTTTAAAGTAGTTGGACAATATTATAAATGGTAATTCTGGGGTGGCAGCATTGTTTAAGTCAACTATGCTGTCAGACCTTATCATCATTTTCGTTTTCATAATTTTCTTCGAACTCAAGTTCTTGTTCTGTTTGGTTCAGGAAAAGTTGGTTCTTTTGTATGGTTTATATGCTTGCTGATATAGGAGTCGGTTTTGGCAGTTGATGTGGCGGTATGACATTCTTTTCGAAGACATTACTGTCTTACTTGTTAGATGTATACAGTACACGTAGTAAAGGGATTATAATTAAATTTTGGTTGCAAGGTAATCGGCTCATTATATAAATTTGGTAAGCATTCAGCAGAAAGTAGGGTAATAAATTTTCAGTGGGTTCAAATGTAAGCATTATTGTATTACCTATGTTTTTTTTTATTACTTTGATAATTCAAAACTCGCAACATTCAGCATTGCCCAAAAAGAACGGAATATTGACATTATGGCCAAAAAAACCGAAAAATTTTTCAAACAGCTTATTCCTTATTTAATACAAAATCATCTGTAACACCTAGATTTAATTTGTTGTACAGAGTACTCCCGATCCGATGGGACTTGAACCTTGACGAAACTCTTGTACAAACTTGAGTGGGTGGATCGGCTTGCGAGTTTCGATGTCTAGGGTCTTAGCAGATATAGATAGCGATCATAACTTAGTAGTTATGAAGACCAATCTTAAATTCAAAATTCTGAAAAAGAGGTAGAAGACGTCTTGACTTAGAAAAGCTAAAATGTAACGAAACACGTGATAGGCTAGGTAAAAGGACAGACGAAATACTAAAGGCGGCTGGAGAAACGAATGACGGGGACATAGAGATTTAATGGAACTGCACTAAAACGTGCCTAAAGTCAGCAGCTACAGATATAGTAGATCTTAAACAAAACGAAAGTAGGAAACCCTGGATAACAAATGAGATTGTAGGATTAATAGATGAAAGGCGGAAATATAAAAACAGGACAGACGAAGAAGGGCAAAAAAGATATAAAGCTATAAAGTGAGAAATAATTAGAAAGGGCAGCTAAGGAACAGTGGATTGATAGAATGTGTAAAGAAGTAGAAGAAAAGTTTGAAGTAGGTAAAACCGATGAGGCGTATAATATAATTAAAAGGAATGTTAGAGATGTAGGATACATTAGTAATAATATAAGAAACGAGGCAGGGGTCATTTTGATAGTAAATGAGGAAAAGGCAGATAGGTGGAAAGAATATTTAGAGAACCCATACGCAGGCCTTGAGTTAGTATATATTAGAGAAGGAAGATAGTGTGGAAATAGATGAGCTTGGTTATCCCATAATGAGAGAAGAGTTCGATGTAGCATTAAAAAATTTAAAGAATAATAAGGCGCCAGGTGTAGATGGGATACAGGGGAAATTCTAAAACATGCAGGACAAGAGGTTAGAGATTCATATGTTTAAGCTATTTAGTCACATTTACGAAACGGGGAAAGTCCCCGAGGATTATAAACGGAATATAGTAGTAGTAACATTACCTAAGAAAAGGGGGGCAGACAGATGCGAGACATTTCGAACAATTAGCTTAACTTCCAATGCGTCAAAAATATTAACTAGAACTGTACAGAGGAGGATGGAAAAAAGGGCGGAAGAACTATTAGGGGAAGATCAATTTGGGTTTAGAAGAAATAGAGGAGAGGCCATTCTAGCTTTACGGGTAGCAATAGAGAAAACAATAGAAAAAGGAAAGAGTGCGTTCATAGGATTTGTAGATTTAGAGAAAGCTTTTGACAATGTTAAATGGGACAAGATGTTAAATATACTTAAAAATGTAGGAATGAGTTACAAAGATAGAAGAGTTATACTTAGTTTGTATAAAGAGCAACAGGCAGTTATTGAGCTAGGGATGCAACGTAGAGAAGTAAATATTAGGAAGGGAGTCAGACAGGGATGCACACACGCTACTTTTTAATCTATACATCGAAGACGCCATCAACATCATTAAAGACAGTACAACTGTAGGGATAGATGTGCAAGGGCAAAAGATTAGTATGCTTAGATTTGCAGATGATATAGCAGTATTAGCATCTAGCAAGGAGGACCTAGAGATAGCTTTAAATAAAATGGAAGCGGTACTGACAGATCAGTACTGTATGAAAATAAATAAAAGTAAAACTAAAATACTGATATGCAAGGGAAGAAAAAGTAGGGAAAGAGCGAATATAAAGATAGGAGACGAAAAATTAGAAGAAGTGGCTGATTTTAGATACCTAGGAAGTCAGATAAGTGAGGATGGAAGGAGTAGTAGGGATATAAAGCAGAGGATAGCGCAGGGTCGTGTCGCCTTTAATAAAAAGAAGTCACTTCTATGCTCGCGAACGGTTAATTTAGAAATTCGAAAAAGGTTGTTAAAGGTGTATGTTTGGAGCACGGCGTTGTACGGGTGCGAAACATGGACAGTGGGAGCGGCGGAAAAGAAAAGGTTAGAAGCGTTCGAAATGTGGTGTTATAGGCGGATGATGAGGATATCGTGGGTAGAAAAGGTTAGAAATGAAGAGGTATTGGAAAGAATAGGAGAACAGAGGACTCTATGGAAGTCAATAAAAAATAGGCGAGATAGGTTGGTAGGACACCTTCTCAGGCATGAAGGTCTAGTCAGAGACATATTAGAGGCAGAAACAGGAGTTAGGAGGGGTAGAGGTAGACCTAGATTAGATTACTCTTCGCAAATAGTTAAGGATGTGGGCTGTTCTAGTTTTAGGGAAATGCGAAGTTTAGCTCAGGATAGGGAAGAGTGGAGGTACGTGTCCAACCAGTCTTAGGACTGTCGACCTTATGATGATGACAGAGTACTCATAAAAACAAAGGTTTCGTTTATGTGACAGCATTGTTAAGTATGGGTGCCATGGAAAACAGTTATTCATAATACCAAAATATGTAGCCTTGCAAAAAAATGCGGCGATATTCAATGTTCTTTATTCGAGTTAAATGACCCAAAAAATATGTTCATTGTAACCAAATCAACCAACAAAACTTGTTCCCTGTCTTAATACAAAATCGCCTGTAACATAAATTTGAATTTGCTATACAGTTTTCAAAAGTAAAAAAAAAGATGGTTTCGTTTAAATTGCAATTTCACTAATTATGGGGCCAATCGGTAAAAGTTGTAGGACAAAGTTGTTCAGAGTGCCAAAATACGGAGGCAATCAAAAAATCTCGGCGATATTCTAATGTTTTTCTGATTTGGAAAGAAGTATAGATGGAGATACAACCTCGAAGATCCCTTCTTTTTAGGCTCAATTTAGTCTCTATATCTCATCATCAAATTTTATGTTTAATCAATCCCAAAGATCAATTTAAGATAATAAAGACATTTGAATATCGCAGCGTTCTGTTTTGCATGGCTCCACAAAATAAGGAACGTTTTCGAAAATACTACAAACGGCACAGTGAACGCCATCTGTAGCACGATGCTACATTTTAGGATTACGTATTTTTCTGAAGTTATAGTACTATACCACAATGAGTAGGTATATTATATACTTTTTGGGCCACGCTGTATATGATTCATTATGGAAAATATAAGATTCTTCAAATGCATCTTTGAGTGTATTGGTTCATATATGCCTCTAATTCTGGCTTCGAATACCATCGAGGCTAATAAAAATAAAAAAAGACTTACTCCAAATTCACCACAACTATTTTATAAACCGCAGACACGTGTTTCGCTCACTTACTCTTTTTGATTTAATTTGCAAACTATCCTTGTCATTTAAATGAATAAAATCTAACAAATTGGCTAATTTTTCTTCGATTTGGTCATAATATTCGCAATAGCTCCAGTTACTCTGATGACTGCATCGTGGTCAGTTAATTGTAATTCTAAAATTGTTTCAGAGCGAGGATCTTTTTCTACCAAAAGTTTCTTCTTTCGAACCAATATAGCAAACAAATTTATCAATATTACTGTAATGTTCGTGGGTTTAACAAAACATCTTCTAAGACTCACAACGAGAAAAACGATTTATTTACACTAATTATTACTGAAGGACTTACAAACACTATTAAATTATTGCTAACTTAGGTGATGAATTACTTTATTTATTACTGTTGATATATCACTATTCACTGCGCTGTCAATTTACTTCTAGATTCACTTCTGCAACGGTCAATTAATTTCTACTGCTTTCGGCGATCGTCTCTTCCTTTAAATGCTCTTTTGCTTCCTTTCGGGAACCTTCCCGAGCCGTCCGGAAGTTTCTTTTTCTTTGAACTGTTTAACTGCTTTCCAGGAACGCAGGTACGACACACACATTTACAAATACGGCGCACATAAAGAAAGGCGCCCGCGGCTAGTCGACGAATCGATAAGCCGCTCACACACATGTATGCCCGATCGCACACAAACAAGCTCGTGCTTGCTACACTGCCCCCTCTTTAAGTATGTTTCGTCCCGAAACATTTTCACTTTCCGTTTCGCAGGATCATGCCGGAATCTGCAGTTCTCGCGTTCACGACATCCGCTCCGGGAATAGAAGTTACAGTCCACGGTCTTCACATGGTTGGTCCGATTCGGGTTATTACTGCAAACCAAAATGTCTATTCCAGTACGGCGGAACAGGACTTCGATCATGTTCCGTACGATCCTCCAATCGAGGTCTCGTCGTTTTTCTTGCGTCACTCCAAATCTCCTGTTAACATGGGGGCCTTCCTTCATGAACTCTTCGAATGTGGGCTCGGAAGAAATAGTTCTTAATAATCTGTCCCGCGCCTCCTCTACATTTGCACCGGCGAATGGAGCCAAGCGATTAAAATGGTAGATCACGTCGTTAATCCGCTTCACTATCTCATAGGGTCCTTCCCA